TGTAAATATTTTAATATTTTGTTTTCATGTTTTATTTACTCTCTTATTAGCGAAGAGTTTTAACCCCTTGTGGCCAAGTGTTATAAAGATCGCCTAATCCTTGTTTTCTACTTATAATTTTTACACGTTTTTTTAAATGAGAAAATTAACAAAAAATAAGTAAATAAAATCCCAATTAATGTAAGTGTTGAATTTCTTTGTCTTTTTTTGTTTTGTATTTTTATAAAAATATAAATTCTAATATATATTTTTTTCAATTAAAATATATTTTTCAAATTGCTTATCAGGTTGTTTCTTTGTTGTTGTTGGAAGTTTGCATTTTGTTTAAAAAATATTTTTTGTTTTTCTTCTTTTTTTCTGAAATGTAGTGTGTGGACTATTTGTGTAAACTAATTACGCCAGTTATTTTTACTAAACTCTTGTTGTTGTTTTTGCTGTTTTGTGTAAAATGTTGTTGCATCGTTTTGTTTTAAATTTGTTAATATTCCAACCGTTTAGTTTGCTTTTTGTTGTCTTCTAATAGAATTAATCTCTTTCACTTTTTGTTGTTGTTGTTTTGTAACACGATAACATATTATTGTATGACTTGTTGTTGTTGATTCAAAACTACAAATTAATGAAGTATAAAAGTACAAAATTTTTGTTTTTTTTTAATCTTCTTCTTTTTCTTTGCATATTTTTTTAATATAATTTCTACATGATTTGTTGACTTGTCTGTTTTATAGATTTATAAATATATATATATTCATATAAACATGTTGTTTAAGTTTTTCTTTAAAGGTACATAAATGTTGTTGTCTTGACTTAAAAAATTAAAGTTTTTTTTTTATTTTAATAAAAAAATGTTTTACTTTTTTTGCATGCATATTAAATGAAGTTTTCTTTTGTTGTTTTTTTTTTTTTGGTTTAAGAATATAATTTATATATATTTTTTAACAATAGCACATTTGATTCATTATTTAGGTTCTTCATTTGTCTAAATTTTATTTAAGTCTAAAATCTAATCTCAAACACTTGAATATTATTTTGTCTTCGGTTTTCTTTTTTTGGGTTTTTGTTTGATATAAAAATACAAAGTGTCTTAGCATATCGAAAATTATGAGAATTATAAAAAGAGGCCTTAGGTAAGTGAAAAATAAAGGAGATTACAATCATATTTTGAATATTAATGGTGGGTATTTCTCTGTAATAAGTTGAGGCTTTTGCAAGAGGTTATTTTTCATATAGTATGTATGTATGTGTATGCATGAGATAAGTGAAAAATTCAATATAATGTACAAAAAGATCATAAGAGAAACAAAACACATAAATCATAAACATATGAGCTTCGCCTTAACAGGGCAAAACTCAAATATCATAATTTTTTGAAATTGAAGTAACCGACCAAATCCTCTTTGGAGCACAACTAAATCACAGCATTTTACATTAAACACGACATTTCAAATCAAATGAGCAAGCGTGGTACAATGAAATAAAGGTAATTTCAAATTAGCATTCCCAGCTCTGCATTTTGTGTTATTTACCTTGTCAAATTTTAAGGGATAAACATGAGTTCCCTTCTCTGATTTTGTGTGTATACACTGGATTTATGAATATAGATTTTGACAATGAGATGTTGTCAAATGTATTAATTTGAAAAACATTGTAAACATATGATTACATGACTTTACCTTCTTAGTTCTACCATGCGCGCAAGGTAAACACTAAGAATATTATTGACTATTCCATCATTTGTTTCGTTTTATTTTGCAAGTTGGGATTACATTAAACTCTCACTAAACACATATTTTTCGTGTCAGAGTTTTAAGCACAGATGATCAAAAGTTGAGAGAGAGAGTTAATGGGAGACGAATGTGCCCTTGATAATCAAACACCAGTGTTGCCACCAAGAAAATTTCATATTACACACGGAGGATGAGAATGAACATGTATCTAAATTTTTTTATATGTATAAATAACTATATGGCAAACTTAAATTTAAATATGATTAAATCTATAAGGTTTTATTGAACATTTCTTGTATCGGTCAAAAGTGAGTGCCTCCATTCCAATATACCATCATTGGTAGTTTAAATCGCAGTAATTGTTTTTGCAAACATTGTATTTCTTAACCTTTCTGCAATTACTTAAAGCACTAAATATGCGGTTGCATAACTCTGAAATACTCCCCCTTTGGCTTAACTTCATATTACTCTCCCTTATAGAGAGTAATAACTTTCAAAACTAACAGCTTTGTAATATTTGCTGGTCGCTACAAATATCCCGATTTCATGGCGACGAAGGGAATGGTCCCTTGGTTTTTTTTTCAGTGTTTTGGCATGACGACTATTTTATTAAAAACAAAGCACTTTAAGTTCGAGCATTTTCAAGAAAATGAGAATCACATTTACTTCTGTCTTCCCAAAAATCATTAGCTAAATAATCTTTCTGCAGAAGCTTTTGAGAAGAACAGGATAATTAATAAGCTGTTGCAAAAAGATGAACCTTTGATGTTTGACAGCGGCAATAATAAGTATCCTGTGTTGCAATGTGAAGTAATATATATTTAAATTTTTTATTACGTGGTGCGAAATAAACGCATAGTCTACACAATATTAAAATTGGACAGTCAGAACCATTGAAAAACAATGTAATTATAGGGTAACAAAATTGGAAGAAAATAGAATTTCTTTCTCTCTATCCGATGCTGCTTCACTTCACCAAACACGGCAGATTCTATTAAAGAGAGAATACGTGAAGGTTTATGTTTGTTCGCTTGAGGCACTCATGACTGTTCTGTATGTTCTTTTATTTATGATTCTATGACATAAAATCTATGACTGGGCCGGACAAGGAGTCGCACATTTATGCTCTCCCTAAAATTGCTATATAGAACGAAAAAAAGTTTAAATTCATTATATATACCAAATATATATAATATTTATAAAATATGATTCGAGTAAATACGCGTTAATTTTTCTTAACTACGTCAATAAATCCAATAAATTACACATGAATTAAACATACCATACCAATTGCACATGGGTCACACATGCAGTGAAAAATTACACACGATATGTGTAAGTACACATGAGGTGGCAACACTGATGGCAATGTTGCAATTACCCGAAAAAAGAAGTTAGTCTCAGCATATTTTAGCTATTGGCAATTCGAATTTCATTCCTTTATATAGGCGCCTCAAAGTATGCTACACTCAAACGAATATAGAACATATAAGTGTAACATCGGCCTATGGTGAAATCAATTGCTAGCTAACATTTGATTTTTTTTGTGAATTTTGTTCGGAAACTTCTACCTGAAATATTGAATTGACAGAATGAATAAGAATTTTTTTATGTGTTTGTTTTCTCTTTCGAGACGAGCTTAATGATCTGAAATTTGAAACAAAAGTTATGTAAAAAGAGCGATTCAAATGAGAAATTGCAACTCATGTTCTTCTCCTTCCCGTGATTTATATTTGGACAAATAAATTAAAAAAATCTTTATTTTGAAAGGAAAATCTTTATTCAGAAAGGATTTTAATCTTCAAAGGAAATATAAAAAATGCAACTCTGCACTAGAGTCATATTAGGTGTGCTTCGCTACCTTAAAATTTGTAGCAATTGTTTTTGGAAGTTGTCTGCAAAAACAAAAATGAGAAATGATGTGAAATTTTGACAGTTCTTTCACTGAAAGTTTGCAAATTCTTGCAGAACAAATTTCTTCTTGCAATCATTTGCAACTCCTGTTCTTTTCCTTCCCGTGATTTATGTTTGGACAAACAAATTTAAAAATTTTGGAAATTTTGTTTTTTTTTTTTTAGCTCATTTATATATTTATGGAGGACTCGTCAGCTGATTGCTTGCAAGTTTATGCAGGGATTCCGTCTGTTTACTTTTTGAAGTTTCCTTTGCAAAAGAGAATAAAACTATCTTACTCTCTCGGAAAGAAGTTGCTGGACAATGTCTGTAGGAAAAGTAACCAGACAGACCTACTGGTTTATTTTATTTTTTTTTCACACAAAGCCAGAAAAGTTATGAATTTGACGTTGGGGTAATTTCAATACATTTGCTCAGTAAAATGTACAGATTTAAACATTTTCTGTTTTATGACAAGTTTTGCAGGCAAAATTAAAAATTCTCAAAACGAGGCGCATACATTTTGCAAAAAATCTGTTTCTTCAAAGTTTGTACATGGCTGTACAAGTAAATTGCGTGTTTAAAGTTGTGGCGAAGTTTTGGATGATTTTTATAACAAAAAAGGAACAAGTAGTGCGATTCTGTAAGCCTTTCACATTTTTTTGGTATAACTATAGTGTAATCTGCCACAGAATCCCAATACTGTCGTTAACTAAAAAAAACTAGGCAAATCAATAAATGGATACAATAAAAATAACATTTTTTTTGTTTTATTTTTATTTATTAAAAAAATTAATAAAAACATGTTTTGCTTTAGGCAATTGGTATCAATAATAATAAAAATGTATAAAAAGTATAAAAATTTCTCTACATAAAAATGATTTTCAATACAAAAAAATATATAAAATGTGTATGTGTAACAAATAATAATTAAAAAAATATAATATTTAAAATAATAAAAAAGTAAACAAACACATTTGTATGTCGTCTCTCTATGGTTGTGTGTGTAGATTAGCATCATGTAAACAATGTTTAACAGTGTTTCAAACTAATTAAATACAAAAAATTGCAATTATATGTATATACTAGTTAAAAAAAGTTACAAAAAAGAATTCTTCTATAAAAATGAGAAATTAACAAATTTGATTTATAGCTACTCAAACTTAATGATTTAATGCATAATGTAAAAAAAATATATAAAAAACACAAGAAAATACATAACAAGGCTGCTTAAACAGATGACGGTGGCCACAGAGGCTAAACGAGAGTTTGGTTGATTTGGGGATCGGGAACGGGATCAAGAGGAGCCTTAGATATAACATTCATATTAAATTTGTTTTTAACAAGATAAATAATATTTAACAGTATAAAACGTATGCATAATTGTTTTTTTTTTTGTTTGTTTTGTTTTAATAGTAATATAGATTGTACAATATTATGAAAAAATTATTTAACAGTATTCCATTTATAGTTTTTTTTTCTTGGTTTGGTTAAATTTAGTCAAAGAAAAGTGGGCTTTTGAGAGAAGGGAGATTTTGAGGAGAGAGAGAGTGAGGTGTTGTAAAGATAATATTAACATAGATAAACTTAACAATTGAAACAAATTTCCGTGACATTTTGCTAGTCCCAGCAGCTGTGGAAACGTTAAAGAATGGCAACTCTGTTTTATAAACTGTCATCCGTAAGAGATTTAAAATCCCAACCATTTTTCGACATTTCCGCTTCCGCATGCAGTGTTGTATTTCTAATTGTCTACCATCAGCTGTTGGGCTCTTCTTATTCTACTTCTTCCTTTCCATTGATTTACTTACAAAAAAGGGATTCTTTCTTTACGTGAAAAATCGTTAGCTTTAATACATATTCTATTAAATATTAAATAGTATTTTGTTTAAAATGTGTATAAAAAATTAACAGTGAAAAAATATATACTCTTGTTTATGACTTTATCCAGTATCGTCTTCGTCTTATTCTTCTGGTTTTTGTTGTTTTTTTTTCTACTACATATTATTATGTTCTAAAAAAATTACAGCTAATTACAAAAATTAGAAACAAATAAAAAAATATTTTATATTTCTTGTTTTTTCTTCTTCTTTTTTTTTTTCTTATACAAAGTTGTTTTTTGTTTTGTTTTATTAAGTCCTTGATGAAACTAATTTTTATCGTGTTTTTGTTTTTTCTTTTGTTTGTTTTCCTTTAAGCATTTAAAAAAATATATAATGATTCATTCATTTTTTACTTGCTTTTACAGCTAGATATTTGCGTTATTTGCAATATATGGTTGTAGTTGTGTTTGTGTGTTGTCTGTGTGTGTGTGTCTTATGGGACTCTTTGTTGTAAGTGTAGTTGTGTTGACTTTTAATTGGCAACTAAAAGTTGTTGATAGGAGCCAGTGGCATTGGAATAGAATGAATTGAGACCATCGATTAATTTCGAGTTAGCCGAAGCATTGGAGGAGTTCGACGACGATGACGAGTCTTGTTGGCTAGTGCTGTTGTTGACAGCGGCCACAGCAGCCACAACTGCATTGGCAGCATTTTGACGTTCCGTATTTGCAGCTGTTACCGCAGCATTTGCAGAGCTCGCTGGGGGCACGGGACTGACAGCAGTGCTTTCATTGGCGCCATTGGTTACTGTTACAGTAATGTTGGCAGCATTGTTGTTGGTATTGCTATTGCTGTTGTTGGAGCCGGCAGCTGAGTCCTTGGCAATATTTTCGGCAATATTTGAAGCTTTCATATTGCCCAACGAATGATGAGCGCCACCAACACCACCATTCATGGCAATGGGAGATTGTGGCTGTTGATGTTGTTGTTGCTGCTGCTGTGCCATATGATGATTTCCTCCGATGTTATAAAAACCATGTGGTTCCAAATAGTTATTGAATTTACCGTGACCCACACCATTGTTAGTTGGGGCAAACAATCCATTGCTATCGGCACCATGGAAGTGAGTGGCATCGAACAGATTACGATGATGATTATTGAATTGTGGATACATGCCCATAGCCATGCTGGGGAAATAGAAGGGATCGCCACCATTCTGTGCCATACCCAAAGACAAGGGATTTGGCGATAGAGATCGTGCCGGTGAGACGGGTCCAATGGGGCCAAAATGATTGCCAGGCTGTCCGGGACCGCCAACACCATTGGGTGAATGCCCATGACCACCATGATGTATTTGCTGTTGTTGCATGGCACGTTGTTTTATATAGTTTGAGAACTCTGTTGGGGACATACGATATGAAGTGCTGTAAGAGAGAAGAAAACTTGTCTGTTAACGGATTTCAAATGAAGCGGAATTGAAAACTAAGTTATGCTATAAGCCATGGCGTAATAATAAGCGGTTCCTGAAAATTGCAAAAACCAGATCATGGTAGAAGAATACAGTTAGACGCATCAACACAGGTGTTGGGACAATGAACTGTCAAACCAATTTTGGAATTAAAAATTTAGAATATAAAATTATTCAAATTTGTAAAAATTGTCGAAAAACGCATATTATAATAACCTCCGATTGACGTCTGATTATATTTGAAAAAATATTTTAAAATTTTTGACATAAAAATGTTCCCAAGTGTTGATGTATCTACCTATGTCACTTTTACCATGAACCAGATGTAATGTCAACACTTGTTTACACTTTGACATTTTGAAAGTTTTTTGATTTCAATTGTAGTTTTTATTGTAATTTTTATGACATATGCTATGTGATTTCAATCACAATAATATATTTTGACATTAAATTTGGTAGCCAGCTGGCTCTTTGTGATGTCTGAGCTAAATTTGACAATTGAAATCAGGTTCAGAAAACAGGTAGGTGCATCAACGCTTGGGAACATTAATATGTCAAAATTTATTTAAAAACAATTCAAAAATAAGAAGATTTTTACAAATTTTCTTATGACATCAATCGAAGGTTGTTATTTAATTTTTAATTCAACCTTTTCTTTTAAAATTTTCAATTTCTAAATTGGTTGACAGTTCATTGTCTTAGCAGCTGTGTCGATGCGACTGTGTCGTGAAAATACAACAATGTTGCCATTTTTGGTTGAACAAAACGCGAAAACACTGTTGTCGGCCACAGGTGGCAACAATGTTGCATTTTCATACCGAAGTCACAATTTTAGCTTTGATCTGTTTTAAAGTACGTTTAGATTTACGAAATCCACTTGATCTCCAATTTCATAGCGTATACCATAGTAGAAGAATATAGGTAATCGTAACGACACAGCTGCTGGGACGATGAACTGTCAGACCAATTTTGGAATTGAAATTTTTGAATGAACATTTATTTAAATTTATAAAAATTGTTAAAAAATCATATCATAACAATCTCCGATTGGCGTCGTATAGGAAAACATATACAAATCCACTTATTTTTGAAGAAACATTTAAACATTTTTGACGTATCAATGTTCCCAAGCGTTTAGGCATCTACCTGTATTCTTCTACCATGTCGTATACATAAAATAATAAACACTAGATTTATGAATACAATATACCATGGTAGAAGAATATAGGTAGTCGCGTCGACACAGCTGCTGGGACAATGAACTGTCAAACCAATTTTGGAATTGAAAATGTTGAATGAAAAATTATTTTGATTTGCAAAAATTTTTGAAAAACGCGAATTATAATAGCCTCCTTCTAAGTTAGAATAAGAAAACATATAAAAATCTACTTATATTTTAAAAAACATTTCAATTTTTTGACATATCAATGCTCCCACGCGTTGATGCATCTACCTGCATTCTTCTGCCATGCAATATACGCAACGTATACGCTACGTAATTCACATGGAGTAGAGTCGAGTGGATTTAGTAGTCTAAACGTGCTCTTAAATTTATTTCACGAAATTAATTACAAATTCGTTTTGTTTATTATTTTCAACCTAAAATGAAGATGCCATTGTGAAAAAATGCTGTGACTACCAGTTACTTTTACAAAAAGCTTGCCATATCTCTGTAAGAAATGCATAAACTTTAAAGGAAAGATGTAATAATGAGAATCCGATAATGTGAACTTTATCCTTCACTTTTCCTAAAGTAAGGGATAACAAAAGTGGACTATAAAGGGAAGATATAAGAACGGGCCATAGAAGTATAAAGATGGGACAAGACAGAGTCAATATATGGCGATCCTTTTTTTATATTAACATGGTGCTGTCATGAACTGTTATCTAGATAGTAAAGACACAAACCATTTGCTCAGAATGCATTTTGTCTAGTATTTACTATTTTAGGTCTTTGCTTTGTTCCTCTACGAAGAAGCCAGCCGATGACTTAATCCAGCCTTTATGTATTCCAACCTTAAGGGTTTTACATATGGGCTGTCGCTTTTATTATCCAACCAAGGGAATTTCCGTATGTATGTCAAAATTACCATTTTACATGCGACTCATAATTCTTGCTATCACACACTTGCATATGTTTTTTTATTTTCTTTGATTTAATGAATTTCTGCCGCAAATTTAATTTCATATATTTTCACAACACTTTTGATTAATTATATTTTCCGATGAAAATAGGGCTCGCTGTGATCGATAAAGTACATATGCAACATCTACATATGGGAAATTTTACACTACAAATGTGCAACACTTATTTTCTGATAGCAGCTTAAATTAAGGATAAAAAATATATTAGTCGTTAAAAGATTTTGATAGAAACAATGATGTAAGCTTCTATATAATTTGTTCAATGCAACTTTTGATTTTTAAAGTTATCGATTTTAATGGAAATCACGAAATTGAGAATTCCCCAGTTCTATTTGATATCTAACTTGATTTTTTTTATAATGAACTTATATAGAACGAATTAAAAAGGGTACTTACTTATTTGATCTTTTGGAATTAGTTTTCAATTTTGTCGAACCAAATTTCGTTTGAGCAAAGGTAGCTGTAGTGAATGTCAATGGTGCCTGAGAACGTTGCATAAATCCAACATTGTTTACACCGGGTGCAGTTACTGGATTCGGACTGCCCTTATAGGTAGGAGAATTGGATGTAGCCGAGAGGGGTGATGAGCCAGCCATGGGAGAAGTTTTAGGACTTAAACTCAAACTATTCATGCTCGAGTTGACAGCATCGATAGGGCGGAAACATTGGGCCTCAGGATTAAATGTCTTATTCACTTCTCCATCAGCGGATGAGTTATCTTCCTGATTGTCACTATTCTCGGAATAGAGAATCTAAAAAACAAGGGGAAAATGATAATGGAAACTGTTCGGATGTCATGGGGTGTGTTCATGCAACTTACCTTAACGGCACCCTTTTCACCGATTCGATAAGACACCTCACCGGGATCCACCCACACGGAAAGCTCATTTGGAAGATTTTCTAGAATATCTGTTATTGGAACACCACTTTCACGAGCGGCCCGTTCCAAAACGGAATCAATGGGATCGCCTGTTTTTAGGCAACGAAATGCAGAACCCTGAAATAATTAATAATAAAAGTAATAGATTAATAATTTGTAAGGCAACAAGTTTTTTAATGCAAACACAAGAAGTAACTGGGGTATTTCATGAAATTCGATGATAATGACATGTGATAAAAAGAAACTGAGAGAAGGAAAAATCACGGATATTTTGTGGAGATTTTAAAAGCAGAGTTGTAACGTGCGTTTCTATCATTTTGCTTGTAATTGTTAATCAATAAAAACATAAAAAACAAGCATTCCCACTTTTTATTGGTGTTATAGTGGGGAAACAATTATAAAACCATGTTCCTTTATAAATAAAAATTTTTTGGAAGGACATTCGGATTCGACTTTTAATATCTGTCAAGAATTCTTTCATAAAAAAGTAGGCGGATTTGATGGGAAACATCTGTTCAGCCTCTTTATAAATAATAATATGATTAACAACCAAAAATCAAAACCATCTCATGCACATTCCTCATATTATAGGGTCCTGTGGCAACTCCGTCCCAGATAAATCAACAGAAGAGACAACAAAGGGGAAAACAAAAGTTAGTTGCTCGCGAGATTATCACTATCACAGTTGAAACAAATCGATTTCAACAAATTTAATTCATTTTTATTGTTTTTTCAATAATAAATAAATAATTATTGTAACGATTATACGATTTTATTTCCTCGATAACTAAATACTATAACAATAGTCTCAAGCAATTATATGTAGCTCACTATGTAAGAAACTTGCACATTTAAATTAGGGATCGATGTTTTATAAACAAAACCGATTATTAAAAGATTTTGCACCAAAAAATAAATGATGCCTGTATTTTTGACAATAACTCTTTGTCACATTTTACTCTTTTGCAAGAAGATAACTATAGGGTGAGATGAAAAAACTACAACCAACTTCAGACTGCTGTCATGTCTAAGCCACTCGTCCGACAGCTGTTAAAATTACTCCAGTAACAGCTCATTATATTGTTTACAATCGTACAAAAGCATTTTGGTCAGAGTTTTCCAGGAAAAATGTTATTCGTGATGGAATTCAAGCGTGATAGTGTGATTTCTTTATATTTGGCTGGAAAACCACAAGTGGCTATCGTTAGAGCACTCCAACATTTAAATGTGAATAAATCTTTTGTGTCTCGCACCATCGCTCGTTACCATTATACTGGTAGCGTAGCCCGACGTCAAGGAAGTAGATGGAAGAAAACAGCAACATCAAATAAAATGAAAATGTGCACCTTCGGTTGGCCACCAGAACTCAAGCGCCGGCCATGGTGATGGTGTGGGCCGCCATAACAGCCGATGATCGCTCTCCGGTATCAGAATAAATGCCAAATATTTTGGAGGGTGTATTAAAGCCTTGGACACGCAAACATTTTGTCCGCAGACCTTGGACATTCCAACAGGACTCAGCACGCGCCATCCAATAATATTAAAAAATGAGGTTCCTTGCTTCATTTCCAGCACACAATGGCCACCAAAATCTCCGGATACCAATCCGTTGCACTATTGTGTCTGGAGTATTTTGGAAAGCAAGGTTGGTACTAAAAAATACCAAAGCGTCGATCACCTCAAGCAAGCGCTTCACCGGGAATGGAGCAAAATACCGCAGAGCAACATTCGGGCAGCGTGTGACGGTTTCATGTGAAGGCCATAATTCGTACCAAAGGTGACCAATTCAAACAAATCTAAACTTATTCTAAATTTTGATGCTATTTTCGACATTTTTTGCTTTCATTCAATAAAATTTAAAAAACAAATTATGGCGTTTGACTTTGTTGCAGTTTTTTTATCTCACCCTGTACACTCCATGTAGGTGTGAACTTTTTTTAGTAAAATTGCTAGCATCTAAGGAAATATAAATTTTTAGACAATGCCTTAAAAACCTAGGACTAAAATGTTTCCACGAAAAACTTAGTATCGAAGCCTGGCCAAATTTTAAAGTCATTTTACGAACGAGCAACATTTTTCCCCGGACCAGAGATGGAAATTTCAGATTGTACCATTTTTTGAACAGTGTTTGTGCTGTTCATACCATTTCTTTGTTCCTATTTCATTTAAAATATTTGCTTTGCCTTATACATACCTTGACGGGTTTCTCAGGATACCAGTGACCTTGGAATTTATCCTTTAGCGCCTTCTCCAATTCCTCGCCAAAAATATTCACCCGCCGCCGGGGCAGTTTGTTGTACAGATACGAGATAACGAAATTTAATGCCACTTGTATTTCAATATGCATTTTTGTTAGTCGTTGTTTCGTTTATTTGTTTGAAGTAGAGTCGGTCGGTCGGTTGGTTGGTGGCTAGAATATGTTTGTCGGTATGTGTGTGGTATGTGGTATGGCTTGGCTCTTCAGGGCTTTAAATATCTCACGGCTATTTGATGGGCTTTGCTGAGTTCTTTTTGCGTCTTGTATTGTTTTGTTGAGGATTATTATTTTAGTTTCTTTTGTCTGTCCTTTGTTTTGTCCAGTTGTTTTTTTTTTGTATTTTGTAAGCGTAGTTAGTAGTTGTTGGTGTGTAGGTGTATAAGTTTGCCTTTTTTTATTGTAGTTGTATGTAGTAGTAAGTTATTATTATTTTATATTTTTGTTGTTGCTTTCTATTCGGTTTCTAAGAATGCAATTGTATGTGTTCAAGGACTTTGTCTTTCTTTCATTTGGTTTTCGATGGTAAATTGGGGGGGGAAGAGGAGACTTTTTAATTGCGATTGTTGTTGTTTGATGTTATTGTTACTTTTATGGATTTCTCTTCTTTGGCAACGTTGATTCGTAGTAGTATCTGTAGCTAAGTATGTTTCTTGTTTGTGTGTGTGTGTTTTTTTGTAGTTGTAAACAGTGGATAGTAGTGACTGGGAACTGCTTCGATTCGTCGCTTTGTCCTTTGTGTTGTTGCGGTAGTTTTGTTGGTGTTTTGCTTTATAATTTCGTTGAATTTCCACTGGCGGTTAGACTAATGATCTGTAAAAGAGTTCAAGACAATAGAACGATTAAAATATATGCTTTTTTGAAATGAGCCATTAGAAATATTGCGCAATAACATTTGTTAAAGGGTAAAGTTCACAGTTGTGAACAATTTAATAATATATATTTTATTAGATATTATCAAATTTGATGTTTCTCCCTAACGTATTCTAGAAAAAAATCATTTGCAATACCAAATTTAAAAAGGATTTGAATTCAGTTCGAGTTAATATTTATGCAACCTAAACATTTTTCGCAACTTTGTTATAATTGCAATCAACGCCTTAAAGTATGCAATAAATATACATTTATGAGGATGTAACACTAAAAGTGTTGCCAGATGAAAACGGAATGTTAATAAATTCTATAGCACGTTTACAGTTTATCAGATGAAGTAAACTTGGTAGATTTAAATTGCCAAATTAATCCACACCAAGTAAATAGTTCTGATGTAAATATACTATTTGCGTTATTTTAGCACAACTGACATGCATGACAGAAGAATATAGGTAGATGCATCAACGCTTGGGAGCATTGATATGTCAAAAAAAAAAATTAAATGTTTTTTTCAAATATAAGTAGATTTTTTAATGTTTTCTTATGCGACGTAATTCGCGAATCTCAACAATTTTTACAAATTTTAATAATTTTTCATTCAACATTTTCAATTCCAAAATTGGTTTGACAGTTCATTGTCAAAGCAGCTGTATCGATGCGTCTATCTATATTCTTCTACCATGCTGACATGTAATTACTTTTAAATTAAAGATGTATGATTTAAATATTATACTTAGGAATTTACATGGTAGAAGGATACAGGCAGACGCATCGATACAGCTGCTGGGACAAAGAACTGTCAAAAAAATTTGGAAATTTAAAATTCTGAAGGAAAAATTATTGAAATTTGTAAAAAATTTTTGAAAAATGCATATTATAAGAACCTCCGATTGACGATTAAGAAATAATATATGTCTTATTTCTTAATCGTCAATCTACTTTCTTAGTAAAAACATTTAAGAAATATTGACATATCAATGTCCCCAAGCGTTGATGCATCTACCTGCATTCTTCTGCTATGGGAATTTACTAAACAGTTGTCAAATATATAATACAATGTAAAATGGGGACTATAAAGTTTGTTTTTACACTATAAAGAGACGTAAATTGTGTTGCAAATTATTACTGGAAGACGTATGTTAACACAAAAGTTCTGCAAATGGGCGATTAGAGAGAAACATTTCGACAGTTTTTTTACTGAGAGTTTTCAAATTCTTCCGCACAGATTTCTCACTGCAATAATAACTATTCTTCTTTTCCTCCCCCTGATTTATATTTTGGCAAGCAATTTTAAAATATCTTTAATTTGGAAATCGGACGTCTATTTGTTTCGTTTTTCGTCTTATTTTTAATCTCGACGTACTTCATTTCTTTTTTTGACGGACAAATTGATTTGTTTTGACAAATCAGCTGATTGCTTGCAAGCTTTTGCAGGGATTCCGTTTGTTTACATTACAGAGTGTTCTGGCAAAAAAAGAGAATGATATTGCCTTGAGGTGAGAATACATTCTCGAATAATAATATAAAGATGTTGTTAATGCAAAGATGTTGCCAATAGGTTTGTCCTGTTATTTTTCCTGCAGGAATAGTAAAGAAGCTTCCACCTGAGGGAGTATAGGTGAGAATACATAAAACGATTTTTTGACAGGCTTAAGTCATCGGCTGGCTTCTTCGTAGAAGAACAAAGAAGTTTTAGGTTAGTTCGATTTTGGCCCTACCCTCCTTTGTTCTTTTCCGAAGAAGCCAGCCGTTAACTTAAACCAGTCAAAAAAGCGTTTTATGTATTCTCACCTATACTCCCTCAGGTGGAAGCTTCTTTACTATTGCTGCAGGAAAAATTACCAGACAAACCTATTGGCAACATCTTTGCAACATCTATAATCTGAACCGATAACGATAAAATTTGGCATAGGTATTCTGCGCTGTATTTGATATATTTCCTCATATCTTCGTTACGGAATGCATACAACGGCTGTGAAGAAGAAATTTGACAAATCGGTAAAGAATATATATGGGAGCTATAGCTATATCTCAACCGATTTCCATCAATTTTGACACACTTGTATCTAGGCTCAATTTGGCCGTAAATGTCAAATTCCATCCCCTTTGAACCAATATTACATGTTTGGTACACAGTAAGAGGCAAATCGGACGATAATATATACGGGAGATATATCCAAATCGAAATCGATCTCGATTAAATTTAGCAAAGGTATTTCTGAGCTATATTTAATATATATTATCCCAAATATCGTATTACGGTTACGGAGGACAAAAATAACAAATCGGTTGAGCAATATATATTGGAGCTATCGCTATATCTTATCCGATTCCGACCAAATTTGGCGTATTTATTTCCTACCTTAATTTTGTCGAATATATATGGGAGCTATAGCTATATCTTAACCAATTCCAATCAAATTTGGCAATCTTATTTTCTGGCTTAATTTGAACGTATGTGCAAAATTCCATACTATATGGGTTCATATTACACGTTTGGTGCACAATAAAAAGCAAATCGAACGAAAATATATATATGGGAGCTATATCTGAATTTTGACCGATTATATCGATTATCGATTTCAATAGGGTTCGTCCTTGGTTTAAACAAATGACTTGTGTAAAATTTCATCTGGATCGGGCAATAAATGCGACCTGTACTATGTTTACAAAAATACATGGACAGACGGACATACAAAAACTCAGAATGTGATTCTATGCAGATCATCAAAAGGAACTATGGGTCGATCTCTTTTCCTTTTGCCTGTCACAAACAAATGCACAAAGCCATATAACGGTGTGGGGTATAACCCATGGTAGAAGAATGCAGGTAGATGCATCAACGCTTGGGAATATGTTAATTTTTTTAATGTTTCTTCAAAAATATGTTTTCCTATACGACGCCAATCGGAGGTTGTTATAATATGCATTTTCTAACAAATTTTACAAAGTTGAATAATTTTTAATTAAAAAATTTTAATTTCACAATTTGTTTGACAGATCATTGCCCCAGCAGCTGTGTCGATGCGACTACCTGTATTCTTCTACCATGGTATAACCATTAGCACTTACAATATATACAACGATAAAACATATTATCGAATGTAAACCTACTATAAGCACCAATTCAATTTAATGTTTTCAATTTCATTGATGTCACGTTGTTGTGTTGCCTAAAATTCATTTCATTTCGTTACTAATCATTTATTCAAGGCAAATTTTAAAATATTTATCCACTTTTGATTACTTCTACACAAATATGTCCACACGCACACACACAGCTTTGGAATTGTTTACATGTGCCGTTTACTATTTGACATTAGCTATTAGAATTCAAATTGTGTGCAGCACATAGTTATTTCAATTAATATTTTCCTAGTTTTATTTCAACGCGAACACACAAACACACAAACGTGCAATATTTCTAATTGCTTTACTGGGATTTCAATTTCAGTTACTTAGTTACCGATTCTATATATCCTAGGGTTGGCGATGCACTAGGCACACGACTAAAAATCAAACTGCTGCGGATACGGATATGTTCAAATTGACGGCACATGCCAACACACATGCACTCACACTCACACACACACGACATCACACGTTTCAAAAATCAATTTGGCACAATTTCCGCACGACTTAACGAACAAACGTCGACGACGACAAGGTAAGCTAAAATATTTTGTTGCTTTCATCCTCTTTTGGAAAACTTAATACTCACTTAAAAATTTTCCACTTGTACAGCGTTCTAAGTGTTTTTTGACAATTACAGGTTTTTAAAAGAAACTCTAAACTCTAGCGGAACGTGAGCTATGAGCTGTGTTATTTTCCTCTACGAATGTTGGGTTAAACAATTTTCACTTTTCATGATTTGATTTCAAATGAACTTTAACAACAAATTTCAATTTCATTTTACCGTCAAAAGCTGGCTAACAACAAATCTTTGATAATAATTGGCAAAAATTTGCAAAGACGAAATCCCCAAAATGGCTGATGATGGATACAACAAAGAGCAAGCAACGATTGGGCATGCACACTAACAAATACAAATAACAACAACAAAAGTGCAAACTTTATGATGTAATAGATAATCATAACCCAGCCGCTCAGCTGACCAGATGAGAGGAGAGTCTAATTCTGTCTGTCCGTCGCATGACAGTAGAACTAGCAACAAGCAAAACAAATTCACTTTCTTCTGTTTTGTTTGTTGCCACTGGTGTGGTGCAATAGCAACAAAAAACAAAAGCAAAAATACAATTAGGCGAGCAAATAAAAACAAAATTTTATTTTTATATTAGGAAATTCTTGGCAATGAATTTTCTTTTTGTTCAAAAAGAGATTTAAATGTGACAATATTTATAATCGATTTTATAGCTAGTTTTGTAAGGATTTTTTTGACGTATAATATAAACATAATGTAAAGTAGCTTAAAAGTCAATATAATAAGATAAGAGGAAAATTCCCTTTAGGGAATAATAAAACGCAGAACAATTTATATTCTGCTATTTAAATATTAGCTTTATAAATATACATAAATCATATACAGGATGAGATGAAAAAACTGCAACCAACTTCAGACTGCTGTAATTTCTAAGCCACTCGTTCGACAGCTGTTAAAATTATTCCACTGACAGCTCATTATATTGTTTACAAGCGTACAGAAGCATTTTGGTTAGAAATTTCCAGAAAAAAAGTTATTCGTGATAGAATTCAAACGTGATAGTGTGATTTCTTTATATTTGTCTGGTAAACCACAAATGGCTATCGTTAAAGCACTCCAGCAATTAAATGTGAATAAATCTTTGTGTCTCGTGCCATCGCTCGTTACCGTGATTACTGGTAGCGTAGCCCGACGTCAAGGAAGTGGGCGGAAGAAAACAGCAACATCAGCAGAAATGGTTCGAAAAGTAAAGAAGCGACTTGATCGAAACCCCCGTCGCAGTGGCCGAAAAATGGCTCGTGAGCTGAACATATCGCAATATTCCTTTCGGCAAATATTGAAAAATGAGCTCGTGGTAATGCCATTGAAATTCCAAAAAGTGCAAGAACTTACACTACAACAGCAACAGAAAGAAAACAGACTCAAAAGAGCTAAAGAGTTGCTTCGCATGACCGAAAGTGGTGAACTGCCGAATTTGGTTTTCTCCGATGAGAAAACATTCGTTGTTCAGCAGTTTGATCCAGTATGATCGTGTTTACTTGCCAAAGAGGTCAGCTGATGGCCACCAGAACTCAAAGCCGGTCATGGTGTGGGCCGCCATTTTGGTCGCAGAGCTTGGACATTCCAACAGGACTCACCACCAGCATGCGCCACCCTAGAATGGTTACAAAATGAGGATCCTCGCTTCATTTCCAGCGCAAAATGGCTACCAAAATCTCCGGATACCAATCCGTTAGTGTCTGGAGTATTTTCGTAAGCAAGGTTGGCACTAAAAATTACCAAAGTGTCGATCACCTCAAGCAAGCCGGAAATGGGCCAAAAGGCCGGAAAGTAACTTTCGGGCAGTGTGTGACGGTTTCGTTGGCGGCCATAATTCGTGCGAAAGGTGACCAATTAGTACAATTATAAAGTTATTTTAAAATTTGATGCTATTTCCCACACTTTTGCTTTCATTCAATAAAATTTATAAAAATTTTAAAATTTTGGCGTTTGACTTTGTTTCAGTTTTTTATCTCACCCTATAATTTTCTTGCAGACGATCACCCTTGCGAATGAACACTTATTTTTGCAACATAATTTGTCTCATCATTTTTGGCTATTTTTTGAATACTCTATTGGTTGTTGCATCAACGCTTGGGAAAATTGATATGTCAAACATTTTTAAATGCTTTTTCAAAATTAAGTACATTTGTATATTTTCCTACCCGACGCCAATCCGAGGTCGTTATCATATGAATTTTTAAACAATTTTTACAAATTTTAATAATTTTTTATTGAAATATTTCCATTCCTAAATTGGCTGGACAGTTCAGTGTCCCAACAGCTGTGTTGACGCATCTACACCTATTCTCCTACCATGGGTGTATACGTAAACAAACATCAGCTGAGAGGTATTTATATTATCTTAAAGGTCCATCTAAACATTTAAGGTTCACCCATTGTTTCTATTAAAACCAGTGGGTTAATCTTCGACGATTTAAACGCGCTATAAATTACAGATGAAGTTGCCTTTTTGATTCTACCATGAAAGAACAAATATTTTTTCTATTTATATTATTTTGCGGAAAGAGTAGTATTTTGTAAGACATAAGTATTAAAAAACGTTGGATAAAATTCACCGGATTTAAAATTTGACGTATGCAAAAATGAACATTATTTGATGAGTAGATCCTATAGCGAGAATGGCTCAATTCCACTGTAGTTGTCAAACAACGTTATTGTGAATAATAAAAATAGGAATTGTGACATTAAGCACAAATGAGAACAGCTGTTTGAACACCTGTTTCACTAGACTTTTTATATGTAAACATGCAATTTTTTCCCGCACAAAGAGAAAAACAGTAATTTTGGGCAAGGTGTATTTGTGTAATTAAAAATCCAATATTTTGATTGGTTCTACGCGAAAAAACTTTTGACATCGTGTAAAGACAAATGCCTGAATTCGCCTCCTGGTGGCCTTATTAAATAGGACCTTTTTGTAAAATCTTTTCTTAGTGCCAACCTAGTTGTAATTTATTATTAAAACTTTTCGTAATTCGTTTTTGTTTTTTTTATAGCTAAAAATTAAAAGGTTAATTGGTTTTCTACACCTATTAAATGATTTATTGGCATCTAGATATAATATAATGCGGCTACTACGCTGCTGCCTAAAATCTAAATCATTTGTCAAGTGCATTCGCTGCATTTCCTATATTATATTAATTTCAATTTCAAAACCTACTGTACAATATATTGTTTGGAGGTGTCATAAATCACATGTTTATATTCTAGCTATTCTTGTTTTGTTCATATTTTGTGGTTTCCTTTTGTTTGGTTCAATTGTGTGTGTTTAGATGTGAACAGTTTAATTAATTTTTAAATGAGTGAGCTCAAAAAAATAATTTTAAGCCCATAAAAATTTTTCGTAGGAAATCATTTGTGTTTTTGCTCGTTTAGTTCTAAAAGTCTACATCATGCCACAAACAATAGGTACTCGGTTTACAACAGCTGATCATCTAGATAAGTTGTCAAAAACTTATTGTGAATGGAGTAGTTGAATGAAAAACAATCAAACAGTAAACAAAACGTAAATAGATTTTGACATTTCGTCTGATTGCTGTAACACCTTATAATTGCGCCACGGTATGCTTACACATTTGAGAGGATATAACCCATGGTAGAAGAATACAGGTAGTCGCATTGACACAGCTGCTGGGACAATGAACTGTCAAACCAATTTTGGAATTGAAAATTTTGAGTGAAAAATTATTTAAGTTTGTAAAAATAGTTGAAAACGCGAATTATAATAACCTCCGAATGACGTCGTAAAAGAAAATATATAAAAATCTACTTATATTTGAAAGAACATTTAAAATTTGTTGACATGTCAATGTTCCAAAACGTATCTGTGTATCTATCTGTATTCTTCTATCATGTGTTCACCTGACTCTTAAAGCCCGTTTAGACTATACCCTTATAAGATGATTAAGGGCATTATCTCGAGTCATGTGCTTGATACTTCTAAATTAACGATGATTAACCAAAGTTAAATCAGCTCAAAACTTGGATTTGTTTTAAATCCAACGTTAAATCGAAATATTTAGGCATACAACACTTATTTTGCTACTAAAAATGCAACATTGTTGTCTTTACTAACGTGTGTCGTTTATGGTTAAAAAAATTGTACTTTTTATTAAAAACAACATTTCATCAATATATTCTTCCTATCCTTGTATATCATTGTTCGCCATCATTTGTTGACTTTCATGCCGATTGCAAAATTGGATAAATTTTTGAGTTAAAACATAAATTCATGCAAATTTTTGAGTAAATAAATAAAAAAATCATACGTAAACAATGATCAGCTGACTGGTATTTTATACCAGTTGAATTAAAAAAATTGGGTCGATTTAAAATTACTGGTCTTAACAAGCTTAACAAATATCGGCTGAGCGGAATTTAATTCCGACCGTTATAACGTTTACGGTTTATGTAGATTTAGCAAATCCAGTAGACTTCAACTGCCAATTATCACCGTTTGAATGCAAAATTCATGGCAAAACAATAGAGGTAAACTAATTTGAGAAACTGGATATGGCAACTCTTTCCTGACGAACTCGACCTTGTAAATATTAATAAAATCTATTTTCATATCTAAAATATTTTTGTATGACGAGTGGCAGATTTTACAAAAATAATAATGTGTGGTGTAAGAAAACATAATAATCTACTTATTTTTGTCGAAACACTCAACACTTTTTGACATAACAATGTTCTCAAGAGATGAGGCATCTACCTGTATTCTTCTACCATGCCAATTACGTTGCATATAGAGAAATCCATGTGTGAACATTCTGTTAGTGTGATCTGTCATGTTTTATTTGAAGTAAAACTTATGAAAATAATATACATTTAGAAAATAAATCTAATAAAGGACCATTTATTGTTATTCCTATTAAAACTTTCTTTAGTAAAATAAAAAAGTATATAGGCATACGTCATGGATATTTTGAAACAAAGCCCCAGAATAAGCACTGCTTTTTTTGCCCGTATGTCAATATAAAATCAATTCATTTGGGATAATGCAAACCTATTTTATTTTCCGTTTAGTTTAACAATAATTTTAGTATAGCAAGTCATTTATGTACAGTTCACAATATAATTTTGACAAATATGACCTTTCAAGAATCACCTTATTATTACAACCCTGCCACACCAGATACACCTGTCATGTT